CATGAAGGCCTCCAAAAGTCCGGCGCAGAGCAACAGAAGCGACTGCATTTTCACAGTGAACGATGTCTTCTGGTTATACAATATTTTAATTCCGTTAACGATTTTTACACTGTCATAAGCTAGTGACTCTCCAGGGAGTGATTGAACACCTAAGTCACAGTATAAAAAAAAAACACTAGGCCCAATCAACGTGTCGACTCTTTTGATCTCACTCAGAACCAACAAAGTGCCGATTAATTATAGTTAACTCGTTAAATATCGAAGGTAAAAGGAAAACAACTTATATTTGAAGCATTCTCCGAGATTTTTCAAAAGGCACCTCTTTAAATTTCTCAAACTCGACGTTTATTGCAAATAAATGCTTACCTGTTGCTGTTAACGAAAAATATTTGACACAAAAATTGTAGCTCCAGTTGCCAGATACAAGAAAGGTTGTATGCAATTTCCTTTTAACTGCTTTCGTTAAGGAATGAAATCACAGTGAACGCAGTCCATGATCAACTATTAATTTTGACACTTCGCGTTCTGAATATGCAACCTCCCGTTTAGGCACACTTCTATGTATGTAGATGTCCAATCACTCCCTGGATGATAATTAGTATAAGCACTCAAATACTCACAACAATGATGGTGATACCACTGAACACGGACGACATGATCACAAACGTGTACGTGACCATTACGACAACTCGCATCCCTCGAGCAGCTTCAATCGCGTACCTAAAACTCCTTCCCCTAGAGATGCTTCTTGTGCTAAATGCATTCATTCGCATGTAGTCTAATCGAAATCTCAGCGTAACAAAAAGGATCAGTGAGAGTACAAATATAGATTATGCCTTGTCAACGAACCCTCTTACTATCCGGTACTTCTTTACGCACTTAACGAGAGAACGGATCCCGTCGATGTCGACCATTTCCGCTGCCAAAATTTGAAACCTTGCCGCAGCGAATAGTAAGAGTAAAGCACAGAACATGTTCATGGACAAATGAGCGGCGCACTGCATGCAGGCGACAGATTGGTGGAGGAAAATGATGCTCTTTAGCGGTTCGAAATCGACGGAGAACGGGTATTCGGCGTTGGTCGGGAACGGATCGGATACGAAAAGTGTGCCGAAAATGACGGACAACGCCGATACGTAAAACCAAGTGGCGCAGGACCCGTAAAACGCGGCATACTTGTCGACGTACTCTTGGAGGATCTGTCTCTCGGACGAGTTCGCTGCCTTGCAATAAAGTCGCATGTGTTCGATCAATCGCTGCGGGACGTTATAAGTTCGTAACGTTCGACGGTTCGACCAGATCCGTAAAATATTATTATATTTCGTTTACCTGATACCGATCGTATTGCATCGCACAGAGCATCGTTTGAGAGGAGACTTGAGCGACGCCCGCAACCATGACCGCAGCCTTGGTCAGGATCTCAGTATCGTTGCGGTACACGTGCAACGCATACAACAACGGAACAAGTAGTACTAAACCGTTGACGAGCCCCATGATCCTTAAGACCTTGTACAAAAGGATCTGGGACCTAGTAGCCCCCAACGGTGGCGGCCAGCAGCAGGTTAACGCCACGCAGCGTTGGGTAAAGGCAATCGCTTTGTCTGGTGTTGCGGTTTGGAACATAATGAGGCGAAATGAAGACGTAATGGTCCGGTTGACCCTTCGCGGTTCGTGGATCACCGTGCACTGCGTTCCATCCAGCAGTACAACGGTTTGTGATAAACGAATTCATGGAAGTTTTAATATTGAATAGGATTCTACGGGATGTGGTGTAGCCGTGTTCATACCACCCTTTTACGTATATATTCGATAATAATATGTAGTTCGAAAGCTTTCTTCGTATCTCGCATGCACGTTTAATTTTTTATATGCTATTACTGCTGCGGGCACAGTTAGCATCTGTGTGAATCTCGCAGTGTATCGGCAAGCATGTATTACCGAAGATCTTTTCGCGCTGAAATTATACAGTTTATCAAGTTACTGTAGTAACGTAGCAAGGAATATGATACGAACGTAAATGATGCTGTCTAGATTTTGCGATCGGAGTTATGTAGACTGTAAATTCATAATTAATCATTGCTGTTGTATCTTGTACTTTTATTTTGTGCGTCTGTTGTAAATCGATTATGTTCATGCCGACATGTATCAGTGTATGGTGAAGTAATAAATCAAATGAAATAAGTCAGTCTCATAAGAAATTCTCAGTCTTTTGGCTTATAGTCGGGGGTTGCTGTCCCTCGCGTCTTCGACAAAAGGGGCTGTAATGACACGCTGTACATTCAGTAGAGTACCGACGTATTTTCTATTAAATTATACTTCATTGAGTTGATACTAAGTTGATACAAGTCGATACTAAAACAGATTTTGGAAAATATTCGAACAGAAACTGGCCATTTGACTTCTATCACAGCCAGTCTGCTATAGAGAAACAAGTCCTGGATAATAGTCAGAACATCGCTAATGATGAATTTGCGGCACGAAACGAGATCTTGAGGATCAACATCAGTGCAGTTGCCGCGGCGATCAACACGTGATCGCAGACCTCCACTCAGATTCTGTCCATAATACACGTGCAATACGAGAGTCTTCCCAGAGGAGGGAAGAATGTTGGACAGTATTATTCGGGCCTGTCGTGACCAACGACACCTTGCATATATACGAGTAGTTTTAGTTTATGTTCCCAAGGTATTATGACTGAATACGCATATGTATTAACCCAGCACCTATTTGAATATTAATATACATTAGTTAAAATATTGCATTCTGTGTTATTTGATTCGAGCATGGACTCGGTACGTCGACTATTGGGGATATAATATTGTATTTAATTAGTCGTAAGAACGCGTTCGGTTGAATATTTAGTCCTCTTCATCTCGCATCAAAGTGACCCGCAGGGCCGTGAATATAGAGAATATGTTTGATACGAACTAAAATATTATACATATGAATGAGTAACTTTCAGTTGCGATTTTAACGAAGGTAATTAATGCACGTACCGAGCAGAAATAATTCAGCGATAGCGCAGGCATGATACACTTGATACTCAGTACCACTGGGGGTCGAGGAATCGTCATGAACAGTAAGCACTTCTGCACGTCCAGTGGTCGCATGTACCATTTCGATTCGTATGCCCCTTGCATGACTCTTTCACTCTATAATAATTAATTAATAAAAACTCATAAACCTTACATACAAAACTGAAATTGTTTCATATAAATTTCTAAAAGAATCATACCATTTCCATTAAATGATCAGCTGGCAATGCGCACATGAAGGCCTCCAAAAGTCCGGCGCCCAGCAACAGAAACGACTGCATTTTTACAGTGAACGATGCCCCCTGGTTATACAAGATTTCAATTCCGTTAACGATTTTCACACTGCCATAAACTAGTGACCATTAGAGGGTCACTAATATAAGCGATCAAATACTCACACCAATAATGGTGACACCACTGAATACGCACGACATGATCACAAACGTGTACGTGACCATTACGACAACTCGCATCCCTCGAGCAGCTTCAATCGCGTACCTAAAACCTCTCCTCCTAGAGGTGCCTCTTTTGCTAAATGCATTCATTCACATGCAGTCTAACAGAAATCTCAGCGTAACAAAAATGTCATCAGTGAGAGTACAAATATAAATTATGTCTTGTCAACGAACCCTCTTACTATCCGGTACTTCTTTACGCACTTAACGAGCGAACGAATCCCGTCGACGTCGACCATTTCCGCCGCCAAGATTTGAAATCGCGCCGCAGCGAATAGTAAGAGTAAAGCACAGAACACGTTCATGGACAAGTGAGCGGCGCACTGCATGCCAGCGACAGCTTGGTGGATGAAAATGATGCTCTTAAGCGGTTCGAAATCGACGGAGAACGGATATTCGGCGTTGGTCGGGAACGGATCAGATACGAAAAGTGTGCCAAAGATGACGGACAACGCCGATACATAAAACCAAGTAGCGGAGGATCCGTAAAACGCGGCATACTTATCGACGTACTCTTGGAGGATCTGTCTCTCGGACAAGTTCGCTGCCTTGCAATAAAGTCGCATGTGTTCGATCAATCGCTGCGGGACGTTATAAGTTCGTAACGTTCGACGGTTCGATCCGTAAAGTATTATTATATTTCGTTTACCTGATACCGATCATATTGTGTTGCACAGAGCGTCGTTTGAGAGAGGACTTGAGCGATGCCCGCAACCATGACCGCAGCCTTGGTCAGGATCTCAGTGTCGTTTCGGTACACGTGCAACGCGTACAACAACGGAACAAGTAGTACTAAACCATTGACGAGCCCCATGATCCTTAAGACCTTGTACAAAAGGATCTGGGACCTAGTAGCCCCCAACGGTGGCGGCCAGCAGCAGGTTAACGCCACACAGTGTTGAGTAAAGGCAATCGCTTTGTCTGGTGTTGCGGTTTGAAACATAATGAGGCGAAATGAAGTCGTAACAGTCCGGTTGACCCTTCGCGGTTCGTGGATCACCGTGCACTGCGTTCCATCCAGCAGTACAACGGTTTGTGATAAACGAATTCATGGAAGTTTTAATATTGAATAGGATTCTACGGGATGTGGTGTAGCCGTGTTCATACCACCCTTTTACGTATATATTCGATAATAATATGTAGTTCGAAAGCTTTCTTCGTATCTCGCATGCACGTTTAATTTTTTATATGCTATTACTGCTGCGGGCACAGTTAGCATCTGTGTGAATCTCGCAGTGTATCGGCAAGCATGTATTACCGAAGATCTTTTCGCGCTGAAATTATACAGTTTATCAAGTTACTGTAGTAACGTAGCAAGGAATATGATACGAACGTAAATGATGCTGTCTAGATTTTGCGATCGGAGTTATGTAGACTGTAAATTCATAATTAATCATTGCTGTTGTATCTTGTACTTTTATTTTGTGCGTCTGTTGTAAATCGATTATGTTCATGCCGACATGTATCAGTGTATGGTGAAGTAATAAATCAAATGAAATAAGTCAGTCTCATAAGAAATTCTCAGTCTTTTGGCTTATAGTCGGGGGTTGCTGTCCCTCGCGTCTTCGACAAAAGGGGCTGTAATGACACGCTGTACATTCAGTAGAGTACCGACGTATTTTCTATTAAATTATACTTCATTGAGTTGATACTAAGTTGATACAAGTCGATACTAAAACAGATTTTGGAAAATATTCGAACAGAAACTGGCCATTTGACTTCTATCACAGCCAGTCTGCTATAGAGAAACAAGTCCTGGATAATAGTCAGAACATCGCTAATGATGAATTTGCGGCACGAAACGAGATCTTGAGGATCAACATCAGTGCAGTTGCCGCGGCGATCAACACGTGATCGCAGACCTCCACTCAGATTCTGTCCATAATACACGTGCAATACGAGAGTCTTCCCAGAGGAGGGAAGAATGTTGGACAGTATTATTCGGGCCTGTCGTGACCAACGACACCTTGCATATATACGAGTAGTTTTAGTTTATGTTCCCAAGGTATTATGACTGAATACGCATATGTATTAACCCAGCACCTATTTGAATATTAATATACATTAGTTAAAATATTGCATTCTGTGTTATTTGATTCGAGCATGGACTCGGTACGTCGACTATTGGGGATATAATATTGTATTTAATTAGTCGTAAGAACGCGTTCGGTTGAATATTTAGTCCTCTTCATCTCGCATCAAAGTGACCCGCAGGGCCGTGAATATAGAGAATATGTTTGATACGAACTAAAATATTATACATATGAATGAGTAACTTTCAGTTGCGATTTTAACGAAGGTAATTAATGCACGTACCGAGCAGAAATAATTCAGCGATAGCGCAGGCATGATACACTTGATACTCAGTACCACTGGGGGTCGAGGAATCGTCATGAACAGTAAGCACTTCTGCACGTCCAGTGGTCGCATGTACCATTTCGATTCGTATGCCCCTTGCATGACTCTTTCACTCTATAATAATTAATTAATAAAAACTCATAAACCTTACATACAAAACTGAAATTGTTTCATATAAATTTCTAAAAGAATCATACCATTTCCATTAAATGATCAGCTGGCAATGCGCACATGAAGGCCTCCAAAAGTCCGGTGCTGAGCAACAGAAGCGACTGCATTTTTATGTTGAACGATGCCCCCTGGTTATACAAGATTTCAATTCCGTTAACGATTTTTACACTATAATAAACTATTGACCACTAGAGGGTCACTAATATAAGCTATCAAATACCTACACCAATGATGGTGACACCACTGAACGCGCACGACAGCATCACAAACGTGTACGTGATTATTACCACAACTCGCATCCCTCGAGCAGCTTCAATCGCGTACCTAAAATCCATTCTCCTAGAGGTGCCTCTTTTGCTAAATGCATTCATTCGCATGTAGTATAATCGAAATCTCAGCGTAACAGAAAAGGATCAGTGAGAGTACAAATATAGATTATGCCTTGTAAACGAACCCTCTTACTATCCGGTACTTCTTTACGCATTTAACGAGCGACCGGATCCCGTCGATGTCGACCATTTCAGCAGCCAATATTTGAAATTGCGCCGCAGCGAATAGTAAGAGTAAAGCACAGAACATGTTCATGCACAAGTGAGCGGAGCACTGCAAGCCGGCGAGAGCTTGGTGGAGGAAAATGATGCTCTTAAGCGGTTCGAAATCGACGAAGAACGGATATTCGGCGTTGGTCGGGAACGGATCGGATACGAAAAGTGTGCCGAAGACGAGGATGAACGCCACTCCGTAAAATCCAGTGGCCGAGAACCCGTAAAACGTGGCGTACTTGCCGACGTACTCTTGAAGGATCTGTCTCTCGGACGAGTTCGCTGCCTTGCAATAAAGTCGCATGTGTTCGATCAATCGCTGTGGGACGTTATAAGTTCGTAATGCTCGACGGTTCGACCCCGATCCTTAAAGTATCATTTTATATCGTTTACCTGGTACCGATCATATTGTGTCGCACAGAGCATCGTTTGAGAAAGGACTTGAGAGATGGCCGCGACCATGACCACAGCCTTCGTCAGGATCTCAATATCGTTGCGGTACACGTGCAACGCGTACAACAATGGAACAAGTAGTACTAAACCATTGACGAGCCCCATGATCCTTAAGACCTTGTACAAAAGGATCTGGGACCTCGTAGCTCCCAACGGTGGCGGCCAGCAGTAGGTCAATGCCACGCAGCGTTGAGTAAAGGCAATCGCTTTGTCTGGCGTCGCGGTTTGAAACATAATGATACGAAATCCAGACGTGACGGTCCGATTGACCCTTCGCGGTTCGTGGATCACTGTGCACTGCGTTCCATTCAGCAGTAGAATGGTTTGTGATAAATGAATTCATGGATGTTTCAATATTGAATAGGATTCTAGGGGATGTGGTGTAGCCGTGTTCATACCACCCTTTTACGTATATATTCGATAATAATATGTAGTTCGAAAGCTTTCTACGTATCTCCCATGCACATTCAATTTTTTATAGGCTGTTATCACTACGGGCACAGTTAACATCTGTGTGAATCCCATAGTGTACCGGCAAGCATTGCCGAAGATCTTTTCGCACTGAAGTTAGACGGTTTATCAAGTTGCTGCAGTAACGTAAGAAGGAATGTGATACGAACGTAAATGATGCTGTCCAGATTTTGCGATCGGAGTTATGTAGACTGTAAATTCATAATTAATCTTTGCTGTTGTTTCTTGTACTTTTATTCTGTGCGTCTATCGTAAATCGATTATGTTCGTGTCGACATGTGTTAGTGTATGGTGAAGTAATAAATCAAACGAAATAAGTCAGTCTTATAAGAAATTCTGTCTTTTGACTTATAGTCGAGGGTTGCTGTCCCTCGTGTCATCGACAAAAGGGGCCGTAATGACACGCTGCACATCCAGTAACGTACTCACAATTATACTTGATTGAGTTGATACTAAGGTGATACAAATGGATACCAAAACTGATTTTGAAAAACATTCGAACAGAAATTGAAACATCAAGAATGATATAAAATAATTCAAATTCACTGTTTATGTTTTACGAAATGGAAGTTTTGGCATCTAAGGCTCGAAGTACTATTGGAAAGAGAAAAACTATGTCGGTATGTTACTGGGTTTAAACTAGCCATTACGATACGTGCCCTGCAAGGTGGGACGTGTTAAGAAGTAAATTCTGTTCTTCGAATAGAGTTTATTACTAAAATTTTTATAAAACGAGCCGAACATGTAGACGTACTTTTGAAATATCGAATCAGTCGTTAATCGTCGTTTTCGTTTCGCATCAGGACAATCCGGAGGGCCGTGAATATTGAGAATATATTCGACATAAACTGAAACACCAAACAGGTGTTTGTTTGCAATTGAAATCGAATGAAATTTAACCTAATTAATTAATCGCTCACGTACCGAAGAGAAAAAGTTCAAGGTAAGAGAAGGGATGATACATTTGATACTTAAAACTACTGGGGGTTGGCGCATCGTCATCAGCAGTATGCACTTCTGTACGCTCGCGGGTAACACGTGCCATTCTGACTCATATGCTCCTCGCAATGAATCTCCACTCTGACGGTAATAAATCTTGATTATCATTCTAAGTCACAATTAGAGAATTTTATTGGATGACTAAAAGAGACGTCCTGTTTGAATAATTAAAAAACTATTCTCGTCGCACTTTCATACATTCTTATCTCAAACAATTTGTCATAACTTTGTATAAAAACAAGCACTGCAATTCATACGTTACGATACAAAAGAGAAGATGTAATTCAAATAATTAATTTGTACCATTTCCATCAAATGATCAGCTGGCAAAGCGCACATAAAGACCGCCGTAATTGCAGCCATGAGTAAGAAGAGGAACTGAATTTTCACAGTCAACGATAACGTCCTCTAGTCAAACGGGTTTCTTTTGGTTAATTTCAGTCTCCGACTTCCGCAACGTCGTTAGAAAACACTCACGCTAATCAGGCTGAGACCGCTAAATACAGCTGCTACAGTGCAAAGGGTTACCAAAGTCAGAGCGACATAACGCATCCCCCGAACCGTTTCCATTGCATACCTATTGAAAAACATTTACAAGATGTATTTATAGTTGTCAGAATATGAATTTTATAATACAGAAATTTTATTTGCGGAGAACGTGGCATAGAGGATCAAAAGGGTGAAAGAACATTTTCTAAATGGATTTAATTACTATTATTACTGTTATTATATACATTTATTATAATTATGAGTTGTGATGTTAATATTTATAATAATATTAATATATTTATTATAATTATGAGTTATGAAATTATAATACCTTCTTGTGGCGCGGTACTTCTTGACACCCTCTATCAGCGAGGCGATGCCGTCGATCTCGCGCAGTTCTGCTATTAAAATCTCGAACCGCGCTGCTGCGAATAGAAACAACATGGCACAAAATATGCTTATGCTAACGTGCGCTGAGCACTGTAGGCCAACGATAGCTTGATGGACAAACAGGATGCTTCTCAACGGTTCGGAGTCGACCGGGAACGGGTATTGAGCGTTTGTCGGCAGTGGATCGGATACGAAAAAGTTCCCGAGGATGACGAGCAACGCCGACAGATAACTCGAGCAAACGTAAATCGCATAGTACACCGAATACTTGTCGACGTACCGTTGAAACACGTGTCTTTCGAACTCGCTCGCCGTTTTGCAACAAATTTCCATTTCCTCTATTAATCGCTATAAAATTTCATGCATGTAACTGACGAGACAGTTAAACGACGAATCACAGCGATTTCTCGGATGGTTAAGAAATACCGAGATCTGTTCGACGAATCAGAGGTCATTAGGAACTTTTCATATTGAGTTCTTACTTGCAAGCGATCCTGCTGCATAGCGCAGGATGCTATGTGGACAGAGATTTGCAGGACGCCGACAGATATCACCGCTGCCTTCGACAGATTCTCCGTATCGTCGCGATACACGTGGAGAGCGTACAGCAAAGGTAACAGGAGTATGGTCGCGTTGATGAATCCTGCGAGTCTGAAGATCCTGAAGACGAGCGTTTGGTACCTGGTGGCTGTCAGGGGTGGCGGCCAGCAGTAGGTCAAGGCCACACTGTGCTGGATGAACGCGATCGCTCTCTCTGGCGTTACGTTTCGGAACATAACTCACGAGTACATCGACCGGGTGAACGATACTACGCAGGTGGCAGGTGATAGTACACTGCACCGTGGCGAAACGGTTTATCACGACTGAATGCGATGGAAAAATTGCCATGAATAATGATCGCAACTATTCATGAGACAGTCAATTGAGGCGTATCTGTATTCATAGTCCAACCCTTCTACCATTCAGCTGGAATAAGTAGATCAAAACGTTGTTTCCGTTCTAATGTAATTATAGCTAGCTCTCCTGTTTTATTGCAGGACTGTTCATTTTCTTATAGACGATTACAGCTGGTAGAATTGCTACCAAGTGTGTAAATCGCAGAGCTCTGTTCTCGTATGGTACAACAAATCAATGGAATAACAGTAAAATCAAACTAGTCGTATTCATTTGTGTCTGGTGATTGAAAATTATTTATTTATACATTATTATAAAGTGACTATTAATTATATCGATGTACTTAAACATAATTTTTTATTTATCTAATGATAATAATAATAATAAGAATAATTCAATCCGGAGCTGACTCGACCATAATACGTAACGCAGTGAAATAGGAAACCGATTTGTACAGATACTGAAATGATAGCGAATAATTAGCAATTGTAAAATATGACAACAGAAAGTTACGTACCTGCGCGTAATAAGTTAGCGACAATGTAGGTAGGATACCACTGATATGCACAGATTCCATTTTCTGAGCCCTCTGAATGATGTTCAGTATTTTCATCTGTATTTTCACGTCGTTCTCATGCCAGCTCATGTCGTATGCGTCGTCGGCAATTTTATTGCTCTACAATTAATCATTACGTTGATTAGAACATCTGATTATCTCATTATATTTTATGTATTCATAGAGAAAATGAATAAAAACATGAAGGATGTGTGAATCATAATAATCATGAATCATAATCACAATAAATGTGTAAAATCGTGAAATATCAAGAAGTGTGTGAAAATGTATGAGATATCAAAAGCTGCATCTCACGTGCACTCGTATGATAAATTTCATACCATGCCCATCAGTTGATCCGTCGGCCAAGCGTACATGAAGAGTTCCAGACTGGCACTGAACACTACGATCGCATATAGGGCTTTCAAAAGCAATGGCTGATTCTAAAAAAGAATTCCAGATCACGTTCATGTTCGAAACTTAAAAATCCCTGGTTACTTACCGCGATTAAATTCAAGCTGCCAAATATCACGGCTACGCTAGTCGTCGCGACGGTCGATAAAACCAAGAAACTGATAGACCGATGAATTCTCCTCATATAACTAATAAAATTAAGCGTTCTTTAATAATAATTAATATTAGAAATTCTTAATAATGTTTACCTTAAAATCTCATCGTGTCTTTCTACGCAGGCGTTGACCTCTTCGTCAGTCTTCGCTTCACGCAACTGAATTCCAAGGATCTCGAATCTGGCCGCGGCGTATCGCAAAAGAAGCGCGACTTGGATATCGATGGCCATACCTGAGGAAACTTGGAAACCGACTAACGATTGATGTAGGAAAACGAATCCTTTCAGCGGCTGTTGCTCCACCGGAAACGGATATATCGCGTGCGTGGGGAACGTTTGCGGTAAGTATAGTGGGCCGCTTATAACAAAAGCGGCGGTCAGGAAGCACCATAGTACATACACGCAATGGGGATACTTATATTTATCCACGTAACGTTGCAGAACGATTCTTTCCTCCGTCGTTGCATTCTTGCAAAATTTCTCCATATCGTGTAATAGAATCTAAAAGCACTGCTGTTTCGATTCACCGAGCAGACCGTCGCCCTCGAACAAGGAGACTTACCTGAAATTGCTTCTGCTGCGAACGACAGATCAGCATTTTGATTGATACCTGCGCTACGGCCGAAGCCAGGCTCACCGTCTTTCCAAGAATGATGGGATCCTTGCGATATTCGTAAACCGCGGCCACTAATGGGAAAAGTAACGCCGTCGAGCTGAGAAAAGCTGCGCACCATAGCGCGTTGAATAATCGGAGTCGGTGTTTAGCCGATGAAATCGAGACCGGCCAGGAACACGTTAAAGCGACACTGAGTTTCGTGAACAAAATCGCTTCCTCCGGTCCCACGCGTTTTCTCATTTCCGAGCTCTGCTTGTCTCATGACTCGGAACCGAAATGACCGTCGGTAGAAGAAATCGACGTATAAGCCAATTAAGGAGCATCAATGATTTGAAAATGTCGAAAAAATAAATAAGCGATCAGGTCAGAGTTGCTGTATTCTCCTTCGCGCGCCGACGGCGTCGAGATTTAAATTACTAATTCGCAGTCGGCGTAGGGGCGATCGAAATTCATTGCCGCTTGTTATTATTTTACTAGCTCTTGAGAATAGCGTGTTTCTTTCAACGAACATGCGTGTAGAACCCATGCAACCTCGGCCGTACATATGTTGCACGGTGATTGCTTAAATTACATGTTATAGCCTGTAGACATATGTATAACCCCACGGAGGTATTGAAGTAACTTACGTGAGTGCTACCAATAGAATGCGGAATGATATTCTCACATACTTTCCCGCAGTTATTCTGCTCGACTGAATAACAGTAGAATTTCATTGAGAAAGAAATCAGAAAATATATTTGACAATCTCGTGCTAAAAATTTATTATCTCCCGCAATGTACATACTTGCTCGTTACGATTCGATCATAGTTCGCATCGCCATGAAATAGGAGGAGACCGTAGTTAAGAACTAAAAAATCATCGAGTCAATCTTTTTTGAAACCAATTTTTTATACAGCTCGCTTACGTTTGCGTAATACTCCAACGTGAGGGCTGGAAGTAAACTACTCATTCGGATGAGGAACATCTTCTGGCTCCTCTGGATCATGATTATCAGTGCGCTGCCCATTTCGCGTTGTTTTCCCAGCCATCGGACGTCGGCGATCGAGTTTAAAAATCGTACACTCTGGAAACGTCTCACTGATAAAGTGTATACATTGAAAGAAGGAATATTCTTCACTCGAGTAATTTTTACACTTGAAAGAATTAAAGAATTACTTTTATTTCAGGTAAGAAATAATTGATATAGCTTACGCTCTCTTTTAAGTCATCAGCCGGCCAAGCGATGACGTAGAGATGTGCACAGCCCGATACGACCATAGGAACAAATTGACTCTTCACAGCCAGCGACTGATTCTGCGTGAATATCATCGTAACAATATTGAATTCTAAAATACGAGCCGCGGTACATACGATGGTTCGAGATTGCAAACGAGATAGAAACATGTCGAGCTTGCCAGACTCACGTTAACCAGCTGGAAAGCGCCGCATATTACAGCACTTCCCATCGTGACATTCGTTTTAAATAATAATGCCTCCACGATGGCTTTAGTATCCTCCACGAATCTAATCAATTCATTCATTTGCATAAGAAGAGTTCTTAACTGAATTTCTATGAAATGAGTAATTTTGCATTGAATATAAAATGGAATGTACAGAAGATATAAAAAAATTGCATGGATATAGTAAAAAAAAAATCAGAATTACAATTTTTCAACTTTATATGTTTTAATAATAATGAGTGAGTAAAATTTTGTAGTCAGACCGCAGAGTTCTTATTTAATCCTGTAGCTCACCCAATTATTTCCTGATGTTCTTTGACGCAGCTAATTAGCATGCGGTAGCTGTCCACGTGGCGAAGTTTCGTCCCGAGGATGTCCAGTCTAGCCGCGGGGAAGCTGAACAGAAGGGCGATCGTGAAATCGACGAAGATGCATAACGCCGCCGTGCAGATGCAGTAAACCTGGTGCACGTAGATGACTAAATAGAGGACGAGCGGTTCCGTGGCGAAGGGTATCCATCCGTCTGCCGGTAGATCCTGCGTCGAGAACAGCGGCACGAAGCCAAACGAAACCGCGGTGGATATGTACCCCATCGCGGTCACAGAAAAGAACATTTTGTATCTGTCGACGTATCCCTGCAGAACTCTGCTCTCGTCCTCGTTCGCGACTTCTACAAACCCTCGGATTCTCGTTATCAATACCTAAAGGGTTAAAGGTGATAAGCCGGCTGCTTATCGGAACGGTTCTTGTTGCAAAGTAACCTGCAGCTGCGCGCTCTTCAGTTTGCAAAAGATCAGGTCTAGGAACACTTCTAGAAGGGCAGTCATCTCAGAGGCGGTTTTCATGACCGTGGTCGTGTCCTCTCGGAAATGATAAACGGCCAGCACCAGCGATGTTAGTAATAAAGTCACGTTGAGCATCGCGAACGACCATCGTATATTTCGTATGAGAATTCTACTTTTACTACTGTTCACGTCGACCGGCCAAGTGCACGTGAACGTCCCGGCTAGCTCCAATATGTAAAACAGTCTCCCTGTGGTCACATTGAACATGATTCACTGGATGCCGCTCTGGAACGACGACGTCGACTTTCTCGTTGTTGCAATAGAAGTGTTCGCGCCAGTTGCCAATGCAAGTCGATACTCATTAATTATTTGCTGCATTGTATTTTGCATGTGTACACCATAATTGGTTGCACTATGTTGTTCCATAGCTTTTTTACTATTTTACCACCGCGGCTCTCCTTGCAACATTAATCGTTGTATAAAACGCGAAGCACGAAGGTAAATTGCAGAGAATCGCGTGCAATATCGTAACGATAGCTATGCACTATGTTGTTTCTATCTCTCCGCACTTAATTCGAAAAATCGAGATCATTTACGTATTCGTTTTGAAAACTGACATCTATTCATCATCATCATTTTTACTCACGATTGATAAATGTTATTGACGGCAGGTCAGACGGTGGTTACCGTTCACTGAGAACGCGCCGATGATCGATACCGCACGGCTCTACCTTCAGTTAATAAAAGAAGAAAATTGCAAACAATTATTATACAATTACACATTTATCGTTTATCTCTATAAAGGGATCAGGTCAAAGGTCATGAAAAATACAGTTGTCACGTTTCTGAAGCGGAAATTTTATTACACGAGTTATACATAGTTGACAACGCTCGATGAAACGCTGCGTTTATTAATGTAAAATTGCTTCTAAAGGAAATTTCAATATGCAGGTGAAAACGTGTGTACCATCCGTTTGAAACGCGTTGCCGTCCGAGGGTTAAATACGGAGTGCATGTAATTGCGAATGCCAACGGAAAGTGCAATGCGATGCGAATTGGATTGCTACGTTTGTCAGGGAGGAGGACTGATATGGAATTTACAGTGATGGGACGCCCGTCGCGTTCACTCCTACACATGTATTAATGGACACGCACTAAACCATCGACGCAGGTATTCTCATAATGATTAAGTAATTTGTCTTTAAGTAGTTTGTAAAACGTATTATCAACGACTCGCTCCGCCTGTCTAAACTATAAATAGGATAACGTATGAATTGCCATAATCAATTTGTATTGCATATAATATTTGACTAAATAATTATTGTATTATTTAGTGACGTTAACAGACGGACGTTAAACGTCGCCACAGTGTTCTCCGATTACGCGAAATTATCACCCACCGAGTGGGAGCGTGAACGCTCGTTGCAATCCCGTTATGGTTGCCACGATCGGATGGCTACCGCCAATGGTAATTACTCGCTGGCTTCGGAAGTTTATTCTAGTTGCTCTTTCGCTAATCGTAAAAATTTCACCCTCCCCTCCCCCTTATTACCGATCGATGCTTGTTATGCATGCATTTATTTCCGCCCATTCTACGGTTAATTCGAAGCGCACATGCGCATCGTTTCGCCATAACAGTGCTGGTGGTGTAATGAGAATACCAATGATCGTTGCATCTATCTTGCGTGCGATTTCGAATAAAATTGATAATCACGATTAAATAGCCATTGAATTGAATTAATAACAGTTTCTATGATCGTCGGACGATTTATTGAAAATATATAATTCAGCTCGGATCAGCCATTGCTTCTAAAACACCTCGTTCCCCTTGTTGCAGTATTTGCTGTAAAAGAGAATCGATTAAAATCTTGAAAGTTGCGTAAAAATGTACTTTATTCGATAAGACGGAGGCCTGACGCGATAATTTATCGGGCAGTCGTTCTTAGATTAGCGCGACGACTGATTACTCACTAATAAAGTATCGTCGGCAGGAGGATGCCTAAAACCGGCGCAGCCGTGCACGCCGTCACCGTCAGCAGGATTTCCGAGTCGGACAACGGGGTCGTCCGTATTTTCTGTAAAGAGCGTGAGAATCTTAATCAAGAGTTGGCGATTGGATCTGTCTGGTTGCTCCTGGGAAACGCAATTTTTCTCGCCGAAGAACCGGAAGAGCCTCGATCGAGTTTTCGAAGTGTTAACAAGCCTGATTAGAATTCCCATCGCGCGCCGCGCAAGAAAGCGTTAATCCCTTAAGTAGCGATAACACAACGAAACTTTATAATCCAGTTTTCGGTTGCTGCCGTATTCTCCGAGGCACGGCCAGGCTTCTTCCCTTCGTTTCCCTCATTTCCAACGCCCTTCACCTTGTTTAACCGAACACGCTGGCTTAACGAAACAAACAGAATTCTCGGCTGGCCAATCGAGAATTAATTAAACGAACGTCAGCCATTTTGTCATACCCGCTCGTATTGTCCGCACCGTTGCAACTTGATTCACCTCGACGATTTCTTTGAATTATATTCGCCGTATCACAAAGTCACCCGTCGATTCGTTAGAGTATAAACACGGAGTGCCACGGAGCACCGGCACAAAGACGTTGTACAGAGACAGTAGAAGTCCGCCGAGCCAGAGAGCGAAATAATGAAATAACTTTATCAAACGAGAAATGCCTCTACGCCTTTTGATCTACAAATAGACCGCTCTAACGATCAAATGAATTCCATCGAGCGTTCTCCATAATAATGTATGCGAACTTAACCGGAATCTGAAACGGTGAACGTAAAAGGCTCATGAATCCATCTTTCCCTGGAATGTTTTCTTTAGGCGGACGATCCCGAAGGGTCGGACGAGGGTTAAGCCGCTATCGCGCGAAGATAAGGCACGGTGCTTCGCCCACTTCTGTTGTTACTCCGCTAGGGAAAGTCACCGATCCCCGGATCTCTCACGGAAATCGAGTTAAGATATTTATTGGCCGCGTCCCGCTGTCCTCGTTAAAAGTTTCTTCTTTCCTCGGCGTTGTTCAACTTGGCTCGTTAGAATCGTGAGACCCTCCCCCCGAAAACACAATATCGAGCAAGTTAATCGCGCAGCAACCGTGGACGTTCGCCGTGTGAAACTTTACGAGGTCGCCGTTAACGAAAACGGACGGTGAGACGACTTCCGGTTTAGAATCCCCCGAGGGTAGAGTTCGACGCCTATGCGAGAGCCTACCAAGTTTGCTCCCCCGACGAATTTAACGCCGATTTCGAATTTCAAGAACCCTCTCTCGCCCCGAGACGTTTCGAACTCGTTCACCGTGTCACGCGTCGTCGACGTGTGTATTTCGCAACGCTCGCTCGCTCGCTGTCACGAGCTGCTAGCGCCGTGAATTCGTTTGAAATTCTCCGACAGTACCACCCACGCTACCCGTCAAACGATTTCTAAAGACACAGGATCTTTGGAAACAATTTTAGAAGTGACTCCAACAGGGATTACGCAAGCCGTTGCAATCACGTCTACTAAGAATATTTCTCAGAAAACTGAATCCCGCGTAGTCAGATAATTATATGAATTATTATTTACGCGACGGATTAAGAAAATACGTACCGGCTCATTGGTAGTGGTTTCCTCTGCCAGGCAGAAGGCGATGAAAAATAATAGAAGAACGGCTCGCTTGGACATCTTCCACTGCGATAAAACACGCGACGTATTGTCTTCGTTGAACGATTCGTGATAAAACGATCAGCTGACAGACCGTCGCCGTTCAACTGCGTCTGATTTTATCGCCTACTGGAGAGAGAGGAGTGGGATCTTATCTGAGAGCGTGCTTCATATGTATGCCAGGTATGTACGGTGCACAGGTGCATTCTCGCGCGAATCATTCGGCAACCGACGAAGGTACATACTTTTATTTAAGAAACATCAGCACTGCGACTTCTTATCTCGACGAAACGAACTACAGTACGTTCTTGCAATGACATTATTGCATTTGCGCTCTCCTCATGGAATGTATTTCAAGAAATAGGAATCAGAGAACTAGGAAGAGTCCATCGGGACCAGTTGTGCATCATCGTTGATTGTATCGCGTAATACGATCGCTTACTGTGACTTCCCGGAGTTTGATCTCTGCAGGTATCTTACAAAGAGTAATACTTCAATAACCAAGTGATTCCCGATAATGTTTTGATTGTATTTTTTAAGTAGAATTTGAATACGTCAGAGAGAAGAGGGCTGTCAGAGTGTATTACTCTTGTTAACCACAGAGAGCCCTCTCGTCAAACGAAGCCAGCGCGTTTCGAAATAGAAAAAAGAACGTCGATGGTAAAGAGAATCAATCATGCAAGGTGAGAGTGGAACAAAGACAGACGGCTGCAAGAAAAAAAGGTAAAAACTACACGTACGTACCTGTTTCCGGTACTTTTTGCTTCTCTATTGGCGGTTCAAAGGACATGAACGGAAATTCCATACGCGCCGACTACCGCCACGTATCCCCCCCCTCCCCCACGCGACGGGTCAATTTTCTCTCTTTTCATTTCACCGCCAATTTACATTGCGCCCGGCGCCCAGACTCGCTTCGTTACTGTTCACTGACCAAAGTTAATGGAATAACCGACGAATCGGTCAACTCGATCCTTTTTCTTGCCAACGCGAAACCCGCATCGTCTTTGCGCCGGCATCGTTAAAAAGTATCGCCGAACGTGAATCGGAAACTGTGTCAGATTATTTGACAGTCACGCATCGAACGCGATACTCGAAAGGAACGGGCGTGTCGTCGGATGGGAAATAAAATGTTTGCAGGATTTCGAAGTTTTGATTAAGTGTGCTTACGTAGACACGGGCGGGGCGCGTGTCAGGGAGAAACCGATAAAGCGAACGCACGCGGAATAAAAGGAGCACCGTAAAGAAAGCTTCAGCCGGTAGGTATTTCCCTGTGGATTATACGAACGCGGCCAATTCGTACAAGTGAAAATTAAATTAAGATACCGGGGCGAACAGTGCGGCAAACACGGCTGCCGCGCGTTTACTCTATTTTCCTTCCCCCGTCTTGATCGTATAGGAAAAATATTATCGCTGCCAGAGGAAAAAAGAATCGTCCCGCCCCCTTGAAATAAGTTCCCGCCGTTCAACAGCTCTTCGCGGCTCCGCTGTTCGATAATATTTTTACAATTGCACCTAGGACGTCCGGGCACTTAAGTATCCCGCTAAGAAGAAAAGAAAAGAAAAAAAGGTCAGTCTTCTTGTCTCTCCTCTCGTAAACACGGCTCCGCGTTCAGCCTGGATATCTATATTTCTCACCGTCCTCTTCCTATTCCATGCATATTCATCCGAGGCGGTGGGACAAACTGGATTTTCTCGGCGAGAGTACCCGCGGCAAAACGGGACAAAACTTTTTTCCTTGATGAAAGAACGCTCATCGCCTTTATTACGCTCTGATGCAAGACCCGTGTACGCAGTTTCTCTCCCACCGGATTCGAAACTTCCACACCTGGCCGCCTCCGTTACGACCGTCCTCTCACCGGGTTTTCACCTCCTTTCCATCTTATACCAATAATGAAGATCTTCCGCGTCGAGGTCTCTGGAGACGAGCCGCGGACTTCTCTGACGGACACCGAGACCGATCGAATACGCTCCGCGGGAAATGAGAGGGAAGCACTCGTCTCGTTTATCAATTTCATTTAATCCAACATCTCCTTGCCCGTTTGTCGCCGTCGGTATATTACAGATTGTTTCATCGATCCCCGCGGGAGGCCGATTGTTTGCCGGACGGAGGAAATACCAGGCTTTCCATTCCATAAAATTTGATAAAGTAAGACGTCGGTTCCCGGGGATAAGGGTATTTGCCATCGAGAAGTCGCGTAAGTCTAATCGATATCGAGTCTCGATGATACATACACTCGACCAACTAGTCGCAGACTGTTCTCACTTTCCCAATAGAACGTACTTTTATTCATACTCGTAAAGTTCGAGGCAATTAATTATAACGTAAAAGCGTCAGTAATGTTTGTTTGCCGTAGGAGGAACTGCAGGAGGAGCCACGGAAGGAAAGAGAGGTAAAGGGCTTTGAGCTTTGCAGAGAATCCGAGCTTCGCTGAGTTGCATCAGAACGGAAGTGAACTTACACGTAACTGGAGATCGAGGCGCATATTGCGAATCAAACGCTCCTTGAATTCAATTGACGTAGAATCCCTGTAAGCCGACAAGCTACTCAGTCGAACGCAGTCGAAACAGTTCGCCGTTACGTCGATAACGCGAGTCCTATTAAACAATTTGTAACACGCTCCTCGTACCAATTTGTTCGGGGACAGTGTCCAAAAATTTAATAACAGCGGACTAATCGAATGAATGGGAAGCTCGTGAAAGAACTTGCGAAAACTCATTTTTCGCGTGAAACCAACGTCACTGACGTGCGTATGAACCTGAACGCGTTAAAACGTGAAGAGGGAGGAAATTTAATATGAATTTCGACAGTGTATGCAGTTACAGTTTATCTATTTCATAGAGACTGTAACGATAACTTCCACTCGATCATTCATCAGCCGTAGTAATCAATATTGCTTGTTATTGCCATTCCGTTGATCGCGTCATTAACGCTAGTTTGTTGTCGCGCAATTTAATTAATCGTGCGCTCGATACTCGCCACTCGGAATTGCTACGTACGTCGGTTTATTAAAAATGAACGCGATTCAGTTACAACGCTTTTACATTTTCAATTTTCCACGGTGAACTCGATTTTCGTGTTCGAAATTCAAGAAACGAACCATGCAGCGACAACGAGAGCTATATGGAAGCAATGTACACGGTAAATTTTCGAACGTGGAATTAACGGAGCAGATTTGCATATTCATGACGTTTGCCATCAAAAATATTTAATCGTCGGATTGATTCGGTTTCAAAAGGTCGCGCGGAAATGGAAACAATTACAGAATCGGGTGTCCTGAAGTTCCAGCTTCTAGCTGTATTATCGTATTTATTCTCGCGAAATTCATTAGGGGTAGGAGAGGGGACGGGGTGATAATTAATCATCCCTCGCGCGAACAGTACGGCGCAATTAGTTGAAGCTCCTTCTAATCACGGAATCATCGATGGCTGGGATCCGTAGCCGGTTTTAATTGCTTATCGGTTACGCTCCACATTTTATTGATGACCGGCTCCGGATTGATACCAAGAACCATCAAACTGAAAGACGAATAATGACCCAACAGAATCGATCGATTCAGTGGAACATAATCCGATCAGTTTTAAAGATGTATTGGCTATACAGTCAATCCTAAAAGTTTATGTACCTTATAAAAACGCATTTCCTATAATTAAAAAGAAATCAGACGTCGGAAGAACAAAGCTAATAATA